CCCTTTTGGCAGCAATAAATTAACTTAGTCATTTCTTCTATGACTCTCAGTTTCCTTCATCATTATAGAGGATTTCTGGCCCACTGCTTTTGCAATACTGTTCAGTTCAGTGAGGTTTTGGGCATTTGTTTATGCACGACTCCTACCACAGCTTTTCAGCTAGAAAGGGCTGAATTTTGACTGAGTGACAGATATACCTATATTTTTTTATTTGTATTTTTCACTCATTCTCTTGTAGTTTTGCTGGTGTGGTTAGGGTCACTGCTCTCTTGCATGATCCAATTTGGCCAATTTTAACTGTTGGATAAATGGTCTCATATTTGATTCTAGAATGCTTTGGTATATAGAGGAGTTAATGGTCAACTCAATGACTGCAAGGTGCCCAGGTTCTGTAAAACGAGCACAAATCATTACCGCTCTACCACCTTGCATGACAGTTGGTATGAGGTGTTTGTGCTGATATAATTTCTTTTGTTTTTGCCAAATATTCTCCACTTTGGTCTCATCTTTGAAAAGAATATACTTCCAGGAATCTTGGGTTTTTTCAGATGTATTTGCAAATCTTGCTACCATATTTTATTAGAGAACTGAGATATTTTTCTGGCAACCCTTCCAAGCAAAGCCATACTTGTTCAGTATTTTTCTATTTGTACTGTCATCAACTTTAACATTGAACATGCTAACTAAGGCCTGTAGAGACTGAAATGTAACTCTTCGGTTTTTGGCAACTTCTGTAATCCTGGGAATATTGGCACTTGTCTTGAATGTTTCCTACTATAGATTCATGAATTTCAAATTGCTTGCTTGCTTTAAAATGTATACATGGCTTATAACTCTTCTGAGATTGACGAATAGTAAAGTTGTTTCTCCAGTATCTTTACTAACTTCTATCTTTACTATCTTACCTCCCTTGCCTCTGTGTTAACACACCTGAATGATCCAGACTAGAAAACTGCCAAAACTGCCAGTGATCACTGCAGTGTAGTTTATTAGCAGCACCAGTTGGTATTAAACCTTTTAATTTCCATGGAAAACATGATTTAGTGTCATTCATCTGAGGTTGTATTTAAAGGGCAAATAAAACATAAAAGACATAAAAGAATAAGTTACTGCTACCGAAGATGCTGAAGAGGCTAACTCGTTTTCTGTTTATTAGGCCAGAAAAACTGGACTTAACTAGGTTACTGAGTATGTGCATATACATTTGAGTCCAGTGCTCTACTGAGAAATATGTATCATATATTTTCTATTTCATTACTTTTACAGGAACCAACTAAATTTCATCACAGAAGAGCTAAAAGACCCATTCAGGTAAAAACATGAGACTCTAGTGTTAAGCAATAACTCACAAGGCATTGAATTTTAAAAAAAATACTTTTTCTTTTGTTGATTAATTTCAGGGACTTGCCACTGGCGATTGTTATTGGGATTCCTTTGGTTACTGTGTGCTATATTTTGGTCAATGTTGCTTACTTCACTGTTATGACCACAACTGAACTGCTTTTGTCTCCAGCGGTTGCTGTGGTAAGGATAACACTGGTCAATAAGCATCTTGCTACTGGGATTCACTCACCTATACTTTAACAAATGTTTACTTAGTGACTGCAAATCTGATAATCATTTTTATCTAGCTAGTAATATTAGTTTTTAGGTATGATGTTTCAAGTATTTGACAGTTACAGTAACTGGATAGAAAGGATGATGTGTTTCAGAATTTAAGAAAAAAAGTTTGGTTTCGAGAAAAGTGAAGACAAAATCAAAGAAGGTTTATTTTTGTGTTGATCCTGAAAAAGCTGCTGACTTCTCAGCTTGCCCAGCCTAAGTCACCATTAATGTGAGATGGACACGCTTGTAAAATGGAAACAGCTAAGTTTTCTCTGAGTACAAAACAAGCTTTCTGCAACAATAGCTGACTGCAGGGTCAAGACAACTGTAATGTAAAGGATGGATGCAAACAACCAAGGAGCTTTATTACAACACTGTCTGTAATAAAAGGAAGAGATTGTATTACTTTTTTGGTGGGAGATAGGAAATTAGACATAGTGATATATAATATTGATATTAAAGTGTCAAAATCAAGCTTCATATCTTGAATTATTGTAAATGACATGACAATTGTAAATGAGCATAATAGCCCCTTGTTTTCACACCTTGTATTTTCTGAAACATTAGTTTGTATTTTTTTAGACTTTTGGAGACAGAGTCCTTTACCCAGCATCTTGGATTGTTCCTCTCTTTGTTGTCTTCTCAACATTTGGTTCTGCCAATGGAAGCTGCTTCACTGCTGGCAGGTAAAAGAGACATCTATTACATATTGCATGTCATGCTGATAGTTTGGCATAATCTAGATTATTTCTGTCAGTACCTTTAGAGCGGTTTGAAGTGCATATTTATGTATGTGTAAAAATGAAACAACATCTGAAAATGAAAGTTAGAATCCTGAAGGGGATGGAACGAAAAAGCAAATAAAAAAATACAACAAATTTATAGCAAAAAGAAAAAAATTAATAATGTAAACCTAATGTTTTTTGCTCTACAGATTGGTCTATGCATCTGGCAGAGAAGGACACATGGTGAAAATCTTATCCTACATTAATGTGAAATGCTACACTCCTGCTCCTGCTCTTATATTCAATGTGAGTCTTACGCATTAATGACTCATTTTGTATGCATTCTATTTGGCCTCAGATGATCAGCCATCTATTGTTTAAAACGTTATATGTCCTTTCACGGTGTGTTGATTACAGATTGTAAAAGTTTTAAATGAGCCCAAAAACCAGTGTCATTTCAAGTCCTATAAATTTGACATGGATTCTCAGATAAACAATACACTGTGTTGTTTCACTACATGGCATTTCACTGTTTAATTTTTCTCTGTTTTAGGGTGTTTTGGCTATTTTCTACATTATTCCAGCAGATATCAACACCCTCATTAACTACTTCAGCTTTGCTCAGTGGTTTTTCTATGGGCTGGCAGCACTGGCTCTCATAGTCATGCGCTTCACTAGAAAGGACCTGGACAGACCAGTTAAGGTGAGCCTAGTTTATCTTTTATGCTGTTTGGCACAAAAGATCATTTTATTCATTTTGATGCCTTGTTAATTTGGATTGACAAACCACATCATACAAAAAATGACCACAATCAAGCCTTGAGATGAGGATTTATTTTATTTATTTTAACAATACCTAGTTAACAGAATAGTTATGATCAGTAATAGAAGGTCAAATATATACTTGATTTTAGAAAATTTTATCAGTTTTTTAGAAAACATTTCTATCTGTTTTGACTCGTCTATGCAGTCAACAGTAATTTCTGTTTTATTTGTTAGTCAGCCATATTTAGCTTTTGTCTCAAAATGTAGTAGTAAAAGTTATTATTTTTAAGTGTTACATCAAATATTAGACAATCAAATACATAAATCAAATACTTCCTATGTACTTCTCTGTTCCCTTGAAGATACCGGTGGTCTTAGCAGGCATCATGGTCCTGGTGTCCTGCTACCTGGTCTTGGCACCCATCATTGATCAGCCAGAGCTGGAATACCTTTACTGTACCATCTTCATCTTCAGTGGTCTTATCCTTTACTACCCATTTGTCTACCGAAAAGTGAACTGGGGGCGCAAAATCATGAGTAAGTTTATATTTTTGACTGTAAAAATTTAAAATATATATGTTGAGAAGTATGTAGAATTATATGATCAAATATTGATATGAAATGATGATTACTTAAGTGCTTGTGTTGATTTGACCTCTAACTTCTGTTTCCTGATAGGGCCCATCACTATGCATCTCCAGTTGCTAATGGATGTAGCTCCTCCTGAGAAAACTGAATGAGAAGGCATAACGCGTTTCGGTGTCTACGGGGTAATGAAAAATGCTCTGTCTAGTTTTGGAAACAGGAAGTGTGCCTAAAGGCTTAGAGACACATTTTAGAGCTCACTTCTCTGCAAAAGTAGGATGAAATGAAATAATTTAAATTTGTTGGTTCAGGGCTCAGAAATTGTGTTTATATAGAATGACTGCAGGATACAGTGGGAGTATCTGCAGGATATTCCAGAAGTATATGACATATAAACTAAAAACAGATGAAAGGGTACGCTTTCATCTGTTTTTACTTTTAAAAATTATATACTTGTGAACTATACACACACACACACACACACACGTACACACACACAATACGCATACATATTCGGGGTGCAACAATCCATGTACAGTATCGTTATTGAACTGTTTGATACAGTGCTTTCGGTTCGGTACGCATATGTATCGAGCAATACAAAATGTTTTATTTATTTTATCAACTTTTCTTCTGACGATGCTGTCTGTGTTGAGCGCTCAGTGGATCTGAGCTCGACTTCTCTGCCTAGGCTGTACTGTCTAGCGCAGATCCACTGAGCGCAGCGCAAGCTAGTGAGACAGAAGCTAAGCGCGTTGCAACATGGCTACTGTCTCAACGCTACCTGAAATTGAACCTCCCCCACCCTCATTCAGATCTGGTGTTTGAAACTGTTTTGGTTTTCATGTGAGGTATGACCCTGAAGGTAAGCGCGTCATGGACAAAAGTAAAACAATATGTCAGATGTGCCATGCAATGCTCAATTACATTGGTGGGAACTAGTGCGTTAGCGCAGTTAGCTCGATAACGTGTTGACGCCATCCAGCCCGACGCACGGAGCAATCCGCGGTTACTCGTTAACGGAGATTTGTCTCGTTATGCCGTTAATGTCATCGTTAATGTCATTTTAACGAGATTAACGCTGACAGCACTAGTGGGAACACAGCGAATATGACTGCACATTTACGCCGACATCATCCTAGTGCAAAGACAAGTGGAAGCAGACAAAAACAACAAGCACGCATGCTACCAATTTACCTGAGTCATTTAGACCAGCGGTGCCCAACCTCCGGGCCTCGGACCAGTACCGGTCCGTGAATCGTTTGGTACCGGGCCGCGAGAGTTGAGGCTCATGTGTGAAATGTATGGTTTTCAGGGTTTTTATTGGTTTTCAGCTGGTTTTTTTGTTATCGTTTTTATCGTTAACTCGGTTTTCCTGGGTCTTTTCATGTGTGTTATGAATAAATCTTCTTTTTTCGGTACCGGTACTAGTTTTATTTTGTTGTATTTATCCGCGACACCTTAAAGGCCGGTCCGTGAAAATATTGTCGGGCATAAACCAGTCTGTGGCGCAAAAAAGGTTGGGGACCGCTGATTTAGACAGCCGTTAGCACATGATTCTCCTTATGGGGACCTGATATGTTTAATATGCTGCCGAGAGTATACCCCAGAAGAAGCGTATAGTACAGTTTTTATTTTGGAAAGAGCCATTTCTCTGTAATAAATTCTCTTTTCCAAAGATGAGTGATTTCTCGATCAGATAGATTAATTTTTTTTATTACTTTGTTTCAGCAACATTAAATTTAAAAACTGTAC